ATATGTATGTATCTTTCTAACCACAATATGGGCGAGAATAGGGAGCATTCTCAGCATATCAAACTGTTCCTATGTCAACTCCCAATGAACACCCTACCCAACACAAAAGTAACTATTATTTGGCATTCTAAAAGATATAAGTAAACCTTGATTTTTCTTGAAATTCAAATAAATGGAACCCTACAATATGTATTTCTTTAGTGTCTAAGTTCATTTACTTAAAATCATTCTGTATACTAACTCATGTGGCATATACCGTAATAGCTCCTTTATTCTCAATCATTCAATAATGTTCCACTGCAAGATGTTCTTTCTTCTTTTATTCTTCTATAGTCCATGAAAATTTTGTGTTTTTTTTTTTTCATTTTTTGCTATTAAGACTGTTGTCAACTTTCCTCTCATACCTTGTGGTGGATATAAACTCTTATCTATATGGTATATACTCTGGAGTGGAAATATAGTGTTATAGAATGGAAGTCACTTTCCCCACTTGGGAACCTTCTTAGAAACAGAGCACAGGACCCACCCTGATGATTTAGAATTCTCCTGAGCACTTAGGCAGCTCCAGAGGCTGTTCCTAGTATCCCCCTGTTGACCTCATTTAAGTGGAAGGATTGATGAACAGTGCCCTGAAGTCGATGAGAAGACTTTTGGATAGAGCATGAAGACGTGGCAAGTGTGAGGATTCACCTTCCTCCCTTGTCCTTGCCTGGGCTTTGTAGATTTTGTCGAGCACTTTTGACTATGTAACAAGATGTCTGTAGTCTTCCCTCTGCCCATTCTGCAGCCAGTGCATCCACAGCAGTTTCCCCAAGACTGGAGTGTTCTACTGGCTCTGACAAATTTGATCTTTCCTCTCAGATGAGCAAGTGTCGATAAGATGGTTAGAGAGAAGGAGAAGGCACAGGCGCAAGGGGGTAAGAATGACTGGCACACGACTGTAAGGAGTTTAGGCAACCTTTATTTGATGTTGCTTTTAAAATTCAGCTACTGTTGTCCAGCAAGTCTGACTGACTCATAGGGGTAAACCTTCTCTAACAGATGCAGTCAAGGATTGTTCCCATTGGATCTAAAGCCACAAATACGTGGGAACGTCCCTGAGAAGAAGAGTCTGCCAAAGGAGACATAACAGGATTTTCATGGAGTCGGTATTAATCATTTGAGTGGATGTTCTATGTCCCTGTTGCGTTGGGCTTGTAAGACAGTAAGTGGGAATGGAGAGTAGGAAAGAGGTGTGGATTTTTGGCTCAAGAGTACTTGAAATCAGGATTGAAATTTAGTACGTTCTCTTGGACTTTATGGATTTCCTTGGTATACTCTTCCCAAAAATATTAGACAATTCCTGGCTCTGTTACTATTATCGTGATTCACACCCATAATAGATAACACTTTGAGAGAAATGAACTTACAAGTTGATGTTGAATCTGGGGAAGAGGCAGACTAACACCATAGCAAGCTTGATAGTAAACATGATTTTTTCAGAAAAGCTCCCTGACCTGGGTGCAGATTCACTATCATCTTGGGAAGCATGTCTTCCTCACATTTGCATGAGAAAATAACAAGGTTTTAAACAGACATCAAGAGAGGTCAGGGTATAGACTTCTAATGCTGTAAGCCCAATGTCAGGGCACTCCTGCCCACTGACAGGTCACAGCTGACACCTGATTCACACTCACCCCTAGTCCCTGCTGCTGTGGCTCAGTTGAAATCAGCTCAAAAAGCAGATGGTGCACACTTATTCTGGTAGGATTTATCTCATTTTCGGCTCATAAAGGTGAGTCAGGAACATCTTACAGCTATTGAGAAAGCAACTTGAAATTGAATATAATTGGTTAAGAGCTATGATGTAGGTAAGTGTGTGATGCTGTGGATGTATTTGCACATCTAGGACAGATTAGATGTTTGAATGTATGTGTATTTGTGTGTGTGTGTGTGTGTGTAAGGGGTTGGGGTAAGTGAAAGTAGATAATGGGGGAAATGTGTGAGTGAGAAAGAGTGGTCCTGGATAACATGGGATCCTGGAAAAAAACTTTTTGTAATAAGTCAGATAAAGAAGGCATAGAAGACAGCAATATCTTGTACCTACCTTTGCATTAAGCTAATCACTGATTGTAGGTATTCCTTAGGAATTTATTACGGCATTTCCCTTTAAGGTCTATATCTCTTTATGGAGAAACTTTGTTTAACATTTTTTCTGAGATCTAGACATGAATATTACAATTGTACCATATACTCTGGAATGGTATGAACTGCGGTGGAGAGATAAGTCTGACAAACCAGAGCTGAACCTGAAAACTAACATTCTAAGGACCAACTGGTTAACACCTCCCACAAGATAGATGAGAGTTGCAAATGTACCTATCTTAAAGGAGCCTGTTTCTCAAAATTTAGTTTTATTTCAGCTTTTTGATTACAGGTGACATTTTCCTTTAGAACCAGTTGTATGATAGCTTGATTGAAATTTTATACCACACTCACTGACCCAGTACCTAATTCATCAAATGAATACTTGCTGTGAGTCTATAATATGCTGTGGACAACACAGGCCTGGGGGATGCAACATGCAATAGGTTGAGCACAGCATTTGCTCAAAAGACACAGTAATTTAGTATTTAAAGTGTAATCGATGTTCCAGGAAGTGTACTACTCTATGTAAAAAGCATAAGGGAAGAAAAATAATTTTCCCTCTACTATTCTCAGGTCTTGGTTGAGACACCCCCTATAATAAAAGCTTAGAGGTTTGGTCATTCTCTATTTTCCTACGAGACAGAGCCATAATTACAAATGGAAATTTCTTTATGAATGTTTAAGTTTCTTTCACAGAAAGTATGTTGTTGGCTTTTAGATCTTTTCTGCTGATTCTTCAAAGTATTCAGCTCAAAATAATCCTCATGCAAAGGACAGATTTTTGAATTATCGTATTTTGCTCTACTTGTATGGGCAAACATTGGAATAAAGAGGCTGTGCTGAGCAAACCCCAGTAGTGTTTTAAAATGTAGCATATCCTCATTTTGTGGCAGGGGAAGGAGGCAGGGTGCTTCTCAGAGCTAGATGAGCATCCTTGCAATAATGTTTTAAACTTTCATTATTTATTTCAACAATGAGTTAAACTCAAAATTTTGACTCACCAACACATCTGATGTGTCAAATTCTATTATCAGGTTGCAAAGGGTGTGATTATCTCTTTTTGAGAAATACATTGGAAATCCTTTAGTTTGTAAGTTTTTATCTGGAAATTCAATTATTTCTTCAATTTGATGTGAATTAGTGTGAATGACACTAATTAACTGAAATTTAAATTTTCCTTCTTGTTTGAAGGTAGGCAACCACCCAAAACATCTTTAGCAATATCCTTGAAATTATCACTGATAGATCAGAGGTAAATTTATATAGATTGTAGCTGTTGAAGTTACCTCAATCTGTCACTGAGCTCAGGCTGTTTGAAATTAAGTGGTTATTGACCCTGCCAGAACAATTGAAATTTTAAAGTACAAAAAGAACTGCATTATTATATTCCATATTTGTTTTTTATTACTTTGATAAATATATTTGCTACTATCATTTTTATTGATAATGCTATACTTTATAGTTCATGTATTTAAAATAGTATTTTGAAGCCCCTTTCCAGACAGATAACGGATTAACAGTCCAAATCCATATAGGACCTAAAACCTTAGGATTTACAGTAAATTTCTTTCCCCTTGTTTTGGAAATATTCCATGAAATTTTATTATTGCTCCAAAATCTTGCAAATCTACCTAAGACTGTTGGAAGGCTTTTAAAACAACTCAACTATACTATATGATCAAGTACTTTTTATTTGTTTAACCGATGATCATTTATTGAATAAATCTGTGGGCTGTGTCAATTAAGACCATAAACTAAAAAAGACATAGACACTGTTTTGTTTTCTTTAAAAGATTTATTTATTTATTTATACAGAGCTGGGGTTCAGGCCAGAGGCGCAGGGGCAGTGAGAGGATTCACCAGAGATAGAGCGGGGAGGGAGAGCAGGCAGATGGATGAAGTACACTGCAGAGGAGAGCAGTGGACGGGTCAGGAGCAGTCTGCCGCCCATGTGGGTCACCTCCTTGGTGGGCAGGGATTGAACTCATGCTGAAGTGGCTTTAGCTTCTTAGTGCTGTGCTTTGACCTGCTGTACCATGAGGGAGGTCCCCATAGACACTGTTCTTAAAGGAGTTTTTAACTCTGGGCAGTGTAGAAAAATGCAAGACAATGAGAAATACTGGGTTGGAGTTGACAGCGTAATGCTGTTTGCTCTGAACAGAAAAAAATAGTCAAACTGGTGGTTTAGGTGGCCACCTATTGATTGCCATGATGGGCTTGCTATTTGGGAAGTTCATGCCCATTACAGTTACTATTTTGGATCTCTAGCTGAAGCTGGATTGCAGTGAGATAATGATACACTCTCCAGTTAACGTTGATTTCCCAATGCCTCAAATGGGTTATTTTCTCTAACAGAAATGAGCATTTACAGGGTACTTTGGCTCTATTTGATTTCTATCTCCTTAGTGTCTTTCAGCTGAAAGACATCAAGTCCAGTTGTATGTACAAAAAATTAAAAAAACCAAATCATCACAATACTTAAGTATGGTAAGAGCAGTCATGAGTAGTCGAGGTCTCAAGGGTTTCAGTTGAAAATCAAGTGAAATTAAATGGTGAAATAAATTATTGAATCTACTTATTAGAAATATGATATACACAATAAAAAAAGATGATTGTTTTGAGCTCCTCCTCACTTGCCAGAAGACTCTAGACGTGAATGTAGCATCTTATAGATCTTTGTTTTTCAGTATTGGAATTGTTCCAACTAAAGCAGCATAATAATTTTCTGGAAACCTTCTTAAGGGGATTCCTAAAGTGATTGATAGTGATTAGCTGCGATTCTTAAGTCATCTAACAATGAACTCTAATTTTATAGGTCACACATACCCACCTTTTAGCCTGTAGTGATTTCTTTTGTGAAGGAGAGGCAAAGTATGAGACAGACCAATCAGACACAGGTGACAGAATTCCTCCTACTGGGACTCTCTGATGACCCCTACACCCAGCAGCTGCTCTTCGTCTTGTTCTTGGGCATCTACCTGGTCACAGTGCTTGGAAATCTGCTTCTCATGTCTCTGGTTCAGATGGACTCGCGGCTTCACACACCCATGTATTTTTTCCTGTGCAACTTATCTCTGGCTGACCTCTGTTTCTCTACCAACATCGTTCCCCAGGCCCTCGCCCACCTGCTCTCCAGGAGGAAGGCGATTTCCTTCCCACGTTGCGCAGCTCAGCTTCTGCTCTTCCTCATCTTCGGGTGCACACAGTGTGCCCTTCTGGCAGTGATGTCCTATGACCGCTATGTGGCCATCTGCAAGCCCTTGCAGTACCCCAGCATCATGACTTGGAGGGTGTGTGTCCAGCTGGCTGCAGGGTCATGGGCCAGTGGCATCTTGGTGTCTGTGGTGGACACCACGTTCACACTGAGACTGCCCTACCGAGGCAGCAATAGAATCTCCCATTTCTTTTGTGAGGCCCCTGCACTGCTGACCCTGGCATCCACAGACATCCACACTACAGAGATGGTTATTTTCCTCATGGGGGTTGTGATTCTCCTCATACCTGTTTCCTTAATTTTGGTGTCCTATGGCCACATCATAGTGTCTGTGATCAGGATGAAATCGGCTGCAGGGAGACTCAAGGCTTTCTCTACCTGTGGCTCTCACCTTATCGTGGTCATCCTCTTTTATGGATCAGGAATTGTCACCTACATGACACCAAAATCATCTAAAGAACAGGAAAAGCTGGTGTCTGTGTTCTATGCAATGGTGACCCCCATGCTGAATCCCCTCATATACAGCCTGAAGAACAAAGATGTGAAGGGAGCATTGAGGAAAGTCGCCACAAAGAATTTCCCATGCAGGCTTGGGATTTTCCACGAATAGTGATTCCCTCCTGGCTCTCCCTTTGAGGACTGAGGATTTCCCTTAGCATGACTGGAGTATGGTCAGATCTCATTCTTGGCCTTATCATGGATGCATTCTCCACCTCTCAGCAAATACTCCTTTGTGGCTGGAGAAGGACAGTAGTTTTTGAAGATAATTTGTGGAATTCAATTCAGTAATTGAAGGAGGGTCTGCTTCCTTCTATTTTGTCCTTTTATACCTAAGAGTTAAGATATGCCCTGAGAGTGCTTATATTTTATAAACCCTGTAACCTGTAAAATCTATCTTTTTATCATGCTATTTACCCCTGATCCTAACCAACTTTGTTATTTCTTTTAGAATTCATGAATTTTTTTTGCTTTATCAAGTAATAAAAAATGTGTAAGCATTCTGTAATCACTGTAAGCTAGGTGCTACCTGTGTGTTGCCTTATGAAATGGGACAAACTTGGGGGTGTTGGGATGACCCATTTGTGGAGTCATCACCCACGTACTTAACAATGCAGGACCTAGAGAAAGGAACAACATCAAAAAGATTCTTTTACGGAAGGGATGAAAGAGAGAGAGTGAGGGGGTGACGGAGGTAGAGTGATGAATGAATGGTGAGAGGTGAGCAATGTGGCCCTGGGGCAGAGACTGAGTCCATGTTTTGCTCTCAAATTTCATGTTCCTCATCTGCCTTCCATGTGCCTGAATATTTCGTTTATTCATTCCTCAGTTGACAGATATTTGGGTTGTGTACTTTTAAGCTATTGTGGATAATGCTACTATGAACATGTATATACTCAAAACTTGTTTTCACTTCTCTTGGTTATATACACAAATGTGCAATTGCTGGTAATGTGATATTCTCTACTTACTTTGCTTAGGAAGTAACAAACTGTTCTTCATTGTGGCAATACCATTTGACATTTTCAGCAGCAATGAATGTAGTGATGACAGTATTTTCTATGTCTCTTTTGGAGCGAGTATTTCTTGGAGTGGTGGAACCTTGGATTCTTCTAGTTCACTATTTTCACTCTTCACCATCATTTTGACAGTTTAGCTATTTTAGCAATCTTTACCAAAAAAAACTAGTTTGGGATATTATTAATCATCTGTTACTTTTAATTTTTTTCCCATTTCATCGGTTGCTTCTTTTATCTTTTCTATTTCCATTTGTACTTTGAATTGCTCTGTTTTTCTGTCCTTCCCCACCCCACCCCAGTAACTTAAACTAAATGCTGAACTTTATTTTCTCTCTTGTTCTCCCTCAAGGTGGTATATACACCAATCTTAAGTCAAAGTATATGATATGAGTATCCCTCTGTGTAACCATTGTACGGATGAGAATGTAGAGTATTCTCAGCACATCAAAAAATTCCCAGTCAACTCTAAATTAAGAGCCCTTGAAGGTAACTACTATTTGAAATTCTAGAGATATATAAATTCACTGCTTTTTCATGAACTTCAAATAAATGGAATCCTAAAGTATGTATTTCTTTATGTGTCTAGTTTCATTTACTGGGCATTGTTGGGGTTTAAATGTTGGGGTTTGGTGAGTGGGGTCTTTGGGTCTCTCTGAGGAAGATTTTGGTAGAGTATCCTGCTCAGTGGCAGAAGGCGAGTTTACTAAGGAAAAAGACTTTTGAATAGACACAAAGAGGCAAAGAATTAGTTTTAAACTTTATTAGAAAAAAGGAAAATAAGGGTGCCTGCGTAGACACAGGTGGGCAGTGAGTTACATCTTTAAAAGTTGAGAGAGGGCCCTCCCTGGTGGCGCAGCGGGTTAAAGCACAGCACAGAGAAGCTAAAGCCACTTCCGCATGATTCGGAGGAGATCCACATGGCCTGGCAGACCCCTCCTGACCCGCCCGCTGCTCCCCTCAGCAGTGTACTTCGTGGATCTGCCTGTTCTGCTCCCCACTCTGCTTCTGGTGAATCCTCTCACCCTCCGCATCTCTGGCCTGCTGTCCTGTACCCCAGTTCTGTACGAATAAATAAAGAAATCTTCAAAAAAAAAAAAAAAAAGAAAGAAAGTTGAGAGAAGTCAGCTCGAATTGGGTTAGTTTTAGCTACCAGGTAATCTTTTCTGACCCCACCTCAAGATTCCTGCAACCTTGTGAAAACTTCCATCCCTTGTTCTTTTACTCTAAGCTTCCATCAACATCATCCTGTATGTTCACCTCTGTGGGTGCAGGTAGTAATAGCACCGTAATTCTTATTCAGCAGTATCCACTACTACCTGACTGTACCATACTTTATTCTTTCTATTGTCCATTAAAATCTATATTGTTTTCATTTTTGGCTGTTATAAATTTTCCTCGGAGTACATTTTGGTGGATATAAACACTCACCCTTTTATGGTACATATTCAAAAGTGGAATTATATAGCATTATACGATGGAGGTGGTATTTTGCTTTTCAAAGATAATTCAAATAAAAATTTTAAATGAAGGTGTCTATGATCCCATCAACAAGATATATTGCTTCATATCCTCATTTTATCCATTTTTATGAAAGTGACTGGATTTCAGTATTTTTAATATGCAACTTTTTATATGCTTAAAAATTACTTGTATTTGTATATTTTAAATGTGTTCAGATATTTTGTCCATTTAAATATCAGAATTTTGGACCATTCTTATTAATATTTTTACCAACATGGCTATAATTTATAGTCAGTTTATAAAAATAACAATCTGTATATAGAGACAGATTATAAAGAAACTGTAGTTAAAATGCTAGTGGTTGGAGACAATTGTGGTCCTTTGGGGAACATATTTGCTTTCCATAATATGAAATCCTTCATCAAGTATATATATTTAGCCATGAATTGCAATTAGTATTTTTCCCCGAGAAAATAAAAATTGTCCTGCAGTACGTTTCCCATGAGAGAAAACATAATGGCTATGGGTGCAGAGTGGAGATGCTAGAACTAACTACATGTTGTTTTCTGCCCTTTACCTTGTCACCACTTGGGAACCTTCTTAGAGGAAACAGAGCACAGGACCCACCCTGATGATTTAGAATTCTCCTGAGCACTTAGGCAGCTCCAGAGGCTGTTCCTAGTATCCCCCTGTTGACCTCATTTAAGTGGAAGGATTGATGAACAGTGCCCTGAAGTCGATGAGAAGACTTTTGGATAGAGCATGAAGACGTGGCAAGTGTGGGGATTCACCTTCCTCCCTTGTCCTTGCCTGGGCTTTGTAGATTTTGTCGAGCACTTTTGACTATGTAACAAGATGTCTGTAGTCTTCCCTCTGCCCATTCTGCAGCCAGTGCATCCACAGCAGTTTCCCCAAGACTGGAGTGTTCTACTGGCTCTGACAAATTTGATCTTTCCTCTCAGATGAGCAAATGTCTATAGGATGGTTAGAGAGAAGGAGAAGGCACAGGCGCAAGGGGGTAAGAATGACTGGCACACGACTGTAAGGAGTTTAGGCAACCTTTATTTGATGTTGCTTTTAAAATTCAGCTACTGTTGTCCAGCAAGTCTGACTGACTCATAGGGGTAAACCTTCTCTAACAGATGCAGCCAAGGATTGTTCCCATTGGATCTAAAGCCACAAATACGTGGGAACGTCCCTGAGAAGAAGAGTCTGCCAAAGGAGACATAACAGGATTTTCATGGAGTCGGTATTAATCATTTGAGTGGATGTTCTATGTCCCTGTTGCGTTGGGCTTGTAAGACAGTAAGTGGGAATGGAGAGTAGGAAAGAGATGTGGATTTTTGGCTCAAGAGTACTTGAAATCAGGATTGAAATTTAGTATGTTCTCTTGGACTTTATGGATTTCCTTGGTATACTCTTCCCAAAAATATTATACAATTCCTGGCTCTGTTACTATTATCATGATTCACACCCATAATAGATAACACTTTGAGAGAAATGAATTTACAAGTTGATGTTGAATCTGGGGAAGAGGCAGACTAACACCATAGCAAGCTTGATAGTAAACATGATTTTTTCAGAAAAGCTCCCTGACCTGGGTGCAGATTCACTGTCTTCTTGGGGAGCATGTCTTCCTCACATTTGCATGAGAAAATAACAAGGTTTTAAACAGACATCAAGAGAGGTCAGGGTGTAGCCTTCTAATGCTGTAAGCCCAATGTCAGGGCACTCCTGCCCACTAACAGGTCACAGGTGACACCTGATTCACACTCACCCCTAGTCTCTGCTGCTTTGGTTCAGTTGAGATCAGCTCAGCTCAAAAAGCGGTGCTGAACACTTGTTCTGGCAGGATTTATCCATTTTCTGTTCATAAAGATGAATCAGATATCCTTCCTGTCTGGCAGCATTTTACAGCTATTGAGAAAGCAACTAAATTGAATATAATTGGTTTTGAGCTATGATGGAATTAAGTGTTTGACGCTTTGGATGTGCTTACACATCCAGAACAGATTAGATGTTTGAGAATATGAGTATTTGTGTGTGTGTGTGTGTGTGTGTGTGTGTGTGTATAAGGGGTGGGGTGAGAGGGAGTGATAATGAGGGAAATGTGTGAGCGGGAAAGAGTGGTCCTGAATAACATTTCTCCTATATGGAATACTGAAAAAAAAAAAAAAAAACCTGTTGTAATAAGTTAGATAAAGAAGGCATAGAGGACAGCAATAGCTTGTAATTAAGCTAATAACTGATTGGAGGTATTCCTTGGGAATTTGTGACCGTGTTTCCTAACACTTTAAGGACCAACCAATTCACCTCCACAAGATAGATGAAAGTTGGAAATGTACCTATCTTAAAGGAGCCTGTTTCTCAAAATTCATGTTATTGTCAGCTGGTTTGATAATGTGACATTTTCCTTAAGGTCCAGCTTTATGGTGGCTTAATTGAAATGATTTTATAACACACTCACTGGCCCAGTGCCCAATTCATCAAATGAATATTTGCTGTGAGTCTATAATGTGCCATGAACCACACAGGCATGGGGGCTGTAACATGTAATATGCAATATGTTGAGTACATTGTTAGCTCAGAAGACTCGGTAATGAGTAGTTAAAGTGTAATGGATATACTGCAA